ACTACTACAGTGCAGCTGTAAGTTAACCTTGAAAAAAAATCAATATATCATATATATTAATATAGCCCTGAGCTTTTCTGGCTTGCTGAAATGCTCTTTGAATATAAAATAAATTCAGTCAAGACAATAAAGACTTATATTTATTTTCTTAGTGTTGATGATTTATCAGTTCTTGACACGTGAAGGGTAATAATATATGGCTTTGTACATTCACATGTATAAAAATGCCTCAACTACAGATTTATCTGTTGGAGTCTATGTGTTAAAATTTGCTTCTCAGGATTTTCTTCTTTTAAGAAAATGGAGAACAATGTAAAATGTAAATGAAGCCATCAAATTAAAAATAACATTGACTTCCTTAGTAGGCAGGTATTTACAGATGACTTCTTTTTTCCTGATAAATGTTTATAGTTAAATTGGTAGGTGGTCTTCTTAGGCATAGATAATAGATTTTTCTAATGAAAGAATATTGGAAACCCAAGACTTGTGGACAAAGAAGAGAGCTGTTTTTGGCTTAGATATTAATGCTTAGTTATGCTAAGAATGTTAGGAAATTGATTGTCTTGTCTTTATTTTAGCGTTGCCTCTCTTACACACACTCTTCCCCAGTGTTAAGAAATTAGCTGGGTGTGGTGGTGCACACCTGTAATCCTGGCTGAGTCAGGATGATTGCTGAGCTCAGGAGTTCAGAGCCAGCCTGGGCAACATAGCAAGATACAGCCTCTTTAAAAACAAAACAAAACAAACAAACAACAACAACAACAAAAAACCTTGTTAGAAGAATTATGAGATGATATGAGTAAAAATGTCTTCTGTCCTACGTGCTTATGATTCCGTCCCGTCCCGTCCCGTCCCAAACAGCCACTAGCTCAGAGTTTGGGGACAAATGTATATGGGTTTGATTATATTTTAAATATTAATTTCAGTCTGTATTTGAAGGTAGAGCAAAGTATATCTGACCCTTGTCTGTTTTGTAGAAACCAAACCATGTCTTTGTTGATAAACATAAATATCCCAATTGAAAAAAAATAATGAAGAAAAAAAATTAAAAAAAAACCAAAAACAATAAGGAGAGACCATATGCTTTATTCTCACAAAACTATTTCTTGCAGTGTGTTAGAATTTAAACTGCTTTTAAAAAGTTTTTACATTTCTTTTGTTGCCACTTTTTATCATCTCTTGAAGAGAAAACATGCCATTTAAAACAAAAACATTTCATTATTTCTCACCTAGCTATTTTGGCTGATCATCCTTCTTAGACTTTAAAAATCAAAAGTTGAAGTAGCATTTGCATTTTAAAATGCTACTTGAGAGACAGCCTGTGTGATTGTTGATGGTTGTGGTTATCCTGACCAACCATTAGGACATTAGGAGGCACTGTGAGGGAAAAAAATTGCTTCTGGATATAGCAACTGAGTCTCTAATTTTTTCCATTAGCTTCAGCAATTAGAGTCAATTTGCTTAGATAACATTTTAGCAATAAAGTCCTTGCAAATTATGCAAATTGCCCCCAAACCCCCACAAAACAAAACTTATTCAGTCCTTATGCTGCTGGATTCTATGGAAAGTATAGATGGTCTCATTTAAGTATCTTTTGGTGTGTGTAGCACATTAAGAAGATCGGTATTAGAGTTTTTAGCACATGGTACCATGTGTACCATATGTGAACTTATGTGAATTTTTTTTCTTTTTTTAATTTATTTTAATTAGTTACACATGACAGTAGTGATTTTTTAAGAAATTTTTTTTTAAAGACAGAGAGAGAGAGAGAGAGAGAGAGAATTTTGATATTTATTTTTTAGTTCTTGGCGGACACAACATCTTTGTTTGTATGTGGTGCTGAGGATTGAACCCGGGCCGCACGCATGCCAGGCGAGTGCACTACCGCTTGAGCCACATCCCCAGCCCAGTAGTGAATTTTTAAGTATGCTTGTCTACCCATCCCTCAATAAACTCAATGGAAGCAGAAATATAATCTTACTGGGTTCATTTCCCTGGTAATTAAGGGCAAATCAGAAGAGTATAATCTCTGAAACATGAATATGGTCATTTTCCTGGCCTTATTGCACTTAATGTCGAAGTAGCATTTAGTGTGATTGAGCATGTCCTAATTGAGACAGTTATGTCATTTGGTTCTCTTATACTAGACTTTCTTGATTTTTCTCTTATCTCACTATCAAATTCCATTAACGGACCTCTTCCCCTTTGCTTTATTTCAAGTGACTGGAATTCCTTAAGGGCTCCATCTCACCCTCTCTGCTTTTCTATAGATAACGTATTTTCCTAGGTGATTTCTTTTGGCCACAAAGTGTAAATATTGTTACACTTTGATAAGATTGATAAGAGATGTTAACTCTCTTGCTTTGACCTCTCTTGACTTTTGGCTCTTACATTCAACTGTTTGTGACTTTTTTTTTTTTTTTGATGCCTAATAGGCATTTCAAATTTAATATATTTAAAACATCACTCTCAATTTCCCCAACCATTTTCCTTGTTAAATGAAATTTCATCCGTCTCTTTGCTCTAACCAGAAACCTTGGGGTTCTCTTTTTCTCTCACATTTCATCTAATGAGATAGGTACTACTGAGAAATTGAAACAAGCACAATGAAAACTGAGAAGGAAGTACTTAACTCTGCCTCAGGGTAAAAGAGGGGAAATCTTTAGAGGAAAAGACATATAATATATAAGTTGAAATATGAAAGATGAGTGGTAGCACCCTAATTTTTGTCACTGAGAAGGGATAAAATTTTTCTGGCTTCTATCTCTAAAATGTATTCTGAATTGAACAACTCCTTTCCGTCTCTAACTCTACCATCATAGTCCAACACCATCACTTCATTTATGAATTAGTTTCCAATCTGTCTTCCTATATCTCTCATCTCACTGTAGCCAGAGTAATCTTAAATAGATGTAAATATATACCGGCTTTTACCACTTTTCTTTTTTCTTAAATATTTATCTTTTAGTTTTAGATGGACACAATATCTTTATTTTTATGTGGTGCAGAGAATCGAACCCAGTGTCTCATGCATGCTAGGCGAATGTGCTACCACTTGAGCCACACCCCCAGCCCCAACTTCTTTTCTTTTAACAAACCTCCAATGTTGCTACAAGGACCTATGTGATTGGACCCTTGTGGTCTCTTTGTTATCATACCAACCTCAAGTTATATCTCTTCCTTAGTGATGCATTCTCTAACTGTTCTGTGGAAAATAATTCCTTTGACCTTGACCCTCTGTTCTCTCGTATCTTATAATCCTGTTTTATTTTCTTTACAACACTTAACATTCTTTAAAATTATATATTCATTTACTCGATCTTTGTCTCTTTTACTAGAATGTAAGTTTTACAAAAGCAGGGACCATTTTTTTTTTTAAGCCATCACTATTTCCCTAGCAACTAGAATGTCATGAACATAGATAGGTGTCTAGTAAGTACATGGGTATATTATGTCCCTCCCCTAGTTTCCTTGTGTAAAAAAAGTGCTATCTTCTCCCTTACTGAAACAAAACAAAACAAACAAAACTTTTTTATCCCTTCTGAATGATAGACTTTTAAGTTCCTACTTATCTTTCATATTTCAACTTATATATATGTCTTTTCTTCTGAAGCTTTCCCATAACTCTTTATTCCTTTTACTGAGGTAGAGTAAAGTACTTCCTTCTCAGTTTTCATTGTGCTTTCAACTTCTCAGTAGTACCTATCCCACTTAGACTTGAGTTTTTCTTGTTTGGATTGATTTCCTTAGTATCTGAAATAATGCAAAACATTGAAGTAATGCTGATAAATAAATGAATCAATGTCTTAACTCTAATGGTAGTTTTTTAGAAGACAACATTGTTGTATGAGATACAAGGATGAATCAGACTTTTACATTGTGGACATCCACAACTTATTCATTATTCAGTAAGAATCTGCAGTGTTCCGGTTTTATGTTTAAGATCTAAGGATACAATGACAGAGATTCTTACCTCAAGAAACCTGGTAGAATTTCTTTTGATTTTGATCAGTGATATTTCATGATATATATAATAGTGCTTCCTAGGTGTTTTTAGTCTGTAATTAACCTGTGAACTCTACAGGAGGCAATAGAATAAACAGCTTCTAATCTTTATGTTGTGTGCATGTTTATTACATAATCACAAAGTTTCAGATGGGCAAAGGAGGAGTTATGAAGGCCAGAGCCATGTAGCACAGCCAGAATATTGTCAAAACTACACTTGAGGCAGGGAGTATAGATTATTTGAATATAATAGGCAACAGACTTTTATTTTAACCTTAGATTAAAGATAGTATGTCTTAATAACTAATAGATATTAAAATAGAATTGTGACACCTTTCTTAATTTATGTGGCTAAATATCATAATTGTTTATGTTTCTGATAGATTTCTAACATTTTGGAACTTAGACATGGGATTTAAAAAATGTTGCTTAGAATTTTTTAATTTCTTAATTCTGTATAGCTGGGTCCTAAGTGAAGGCAGAATTAGTTTGAAGGAATTTTGGTGTAAAGTTCTATATATTTCAGTATCTTCTGAATTTTGACAGAAATCTTATTTCTATTGTTGTATAAATTCATGAGTATAAGCAATAATTTCATACTTATTCTAGTATAGCTGCTTCTACCTTAAGATTGAACCAGTCTTTGCATATTTATTTTAGTAGCATGTTTGGAATTTGACATAATTGATAACTGGTTCTTTTAGAGGAAATATGTATGTAGACAGAAGCATATAACTCATGGAAAATTTGTATGTATGCAAAGTATTTAGAATTGAAGTTTAAAAACATTTTGGTAGAGAAGGAGTTAACAGGTTAGCTCCCCTTGGTTGTTCTCAGCCTGCTCTCTTGCCTTTAGGAGCTGAAAAGATGATAACATTGGGCCCGGACATGCCTGTGTGGAGGTTAGGGTACTCCTGGGGTTTTTGCAGCTAGCTGTAAAGCAAGCTAGAACTTGTTCATCTCTGAGTTCCTTGTTTTTCTTTCAACCCTTTCAGTGCCCTGCAGGAGTCATTAAATCAAAACTTCATGCTGATCATCACCCACCGAGAAGTCCAGCGGGAGTACAACCTGAACTTCTCAGGAAGCAGTACCATTCAGGAGGTGAGTTATGTCTCACAGCTAAGGAATAAAGGTAGCTCATTATAGCTAATGTTGACCCTGTTAAAAGAGGGCTTATCTGCTATGGTTGGAAACTCTCTTTATGTTTCATTATTGGGTTCTTAATTTTAATTAACTGGAACATCAGTGATTACTGTAGATATACTAAATGATTTGACCCAGAAAGATATGTTGTAAATGGGAGCTCTTGATAATTCTTAAACTCATCTACTTAAAACCCTGCTTAAGACTAATGCATTATCATATAAGGTATTTCATGCTTTCAATAGTGATTATTCAAAATGTTAATTTGGAAATTATTGATAGCATTCATTTTGGAAGATGCTTATATTTTATTTGAAAGGTTACTCTCAAATATGTTACCTATTCATATTTTTTATTCTTCTGTTTCTAAAAGAAATTTGAGGAAGCTTTTCTTAAGCAGCTCACTTCTATCCTTGGACAGGATTTGTAAGGTGCTGTTGGAGACTGTCATTTAGCTCGAATATCTGAGAAGAGTCTATTTAGCGTGTCAATATTTTCTTTACCATGTCTAAGGAGGGCCACTGTTTCAAAAAGGAACCTCCCCCAAGAGAGAAGAGGTACCTTCTTGGTATGCCTTTGGCCCCACCTACCTAAAAGCCAATAATTTGTCTCCGTAGGGGGAAAACATTTAAGGTTATGACTGAACTAGTGTGTTCAGAAAGACTGAAATAGTAACTGTGTATTATTACCCCTCATAATTTATGAAGACAATAGTCTTTTGTCTGCTAATTTTTTGAAGAGAATTAATCATGCCTAATCTTGGATTATTTCATAATTTTTTACTTAAGACTATATTGCTTAAAATATTACTTATGTTATCTTGGAAGAACCAATTATTTTCAGAAGTATATAAATTGTTTCAGTAATGGCTAGACAATTACTGTTTCTTTCTTACATGTTTTGTCAATGAATTTCGTCTTTTGAATTTGGAATAGATATCTCATTGCTTTAAATTTATTTTCTCCATTGATCACTTAATTTGTTTACTGGTAATCAAAGTCTTTAAAAATTTTTTCTGACTCCTAAATTGAATTGTATGTTTGGTTTACTTGTTTTTTTTTTTCAGGATTATCAAAACATATCAATTTTCATTTCACTTTTAATCTCTATAATGTGTTAATCTCTAATGGATATTCTATGATCTAAATTTAAAAATTTAAATTAAATTTTTGAAAAATCATGTGTTAATGTATTAGAAATAATAATTTATTGTGGCTCTACCTCAGAGTTTCAACAGAATCTTCATGACAATAAAATATAAATTATATATGTGAATTTTAATTAAACAAGGAAATACAGTTTGAACATAAAGCAAAGATAATGAGAGATGAATTTGATTCTGTTGTTGATTCACTTTCTGAATTGAATGGTAATATAATACACGATGGTTTAATATAAACTGCTTTCTTTTTATTTCTGGTTGAAATTTATATATATATATAATCATCCCCCCCCCCCCCCCCCCCCGTGTGGGGGCAGTTTCTGTTAACTCAGGTGTATGGGTGTATTTCAACTTTCTTCCACAAGGGGGCAGAAAGGACTATTAAGCTGATAGCCTAAAAATGCCATTCAGTGTTTTCAAATTAGCTTCTCTTATATTAACAAAAAGGAGCATAATGGCCAAGTTATTGTTTGATTTACAGATAATTGGCATATTGCAGGGAGGAGACTTAATTTCACCCTTTTAAATTAAACAGGGAGATTTAAAAAGACATAAAATATTCATTAATGTTCGGTGATTATAAAGTAGTGGCATATATTTATTTTGCCTTTATTACTGTTTCGATGGGAGAATACTGCAAATATTTCCGAAATCGAGTTGGCCATACTGACAAGTTGAAATGTTTAAGCAGCGTTAATGCAATCTGCTCACACCTGATATCCTATGCAGAATGATTCAAAATGACTACATCAATTATTAAAAGAAATATTTAAAATTCTGTAAATGTGCCATTGTGAGCCACAGTTGGCTGAAACTGTTCTCCATGGCATACTATTTAGATTATCAAATATATTTTAAGCTTCAAGGACTTGAAAACAGTAAATCTTTTTCCTAACATTTTCTAAATATCTTTTGAAAAATGTTCCAGGAATATTTTTTTGCAGAAACAGATATTCTTATGTATTTCTTGGTAAGAGTTTGGTTTCTTTTTTCCTTTTAAAAAGTTATTTTTAAATTATATTTTGAAATGCTAGCTGCCAGGAAAAAATAAATGTAGTTATTTTTGTACTAAGTGGTTTTCTGTGAGTAGACAGTCCACATTGGCTCTTATTTTGAACAATTTAGGAAAAGGATATGGATCACCTCTATAGGCATAGTCCTATCACTTTTCTCCTTCAACTTGTGGAATACCTATGGTTGGGGTGGTTTCAAGAGCAAGAAAGGTGTTCTTATATACAGCCTTGCCACCCACGGTGACACTTAAGTATGTGTATAATTTCTTGTTGTAGGACTACAGCTGCAATCAAAATCAGATAAAAATATAATGTTGAAATAATTTTGGAGTTATATTTTATAAATACTAATACTTCTATTCTTAACATGGAATTTTAATGATGCCATGTGTCCTATGGTATAAATTAATCACCAGTTTCAGTCTTTTTAGTACTTAGTCCAAGAATGAATTCTAACCAGTAATAAAAAATTGTGAGAAAGGAAGAAATTTTAGAGAAACCAAACAATTCCTGATCATTTTTCCAGTGTAGTATATTATTTTTGTGTTCTAGGTGAAAAACGGTTGTTAATTTTAGAAAGCCTTGAAGTTTTAAAGGAAAGCTTTTTATTTTTTGACCCAGGGGAAATTTTTGTAGATGAAATACGATTGAAAAAGGAACTGATTTCAGCTGTTAATTGGACAAAATACATTCTAAAAAATATTGAATTAGAAAATAAAACCAAGATTCAGTTTAAATTTCAGATTAATTCTTCAGTGACCATATGGTCATGCAAGTTAGTGGTGATAAAACAATAGTTGTACAAGTGTTTGTTCATTCTGACTCTGGTCTTCTGCCCCATGACACATGACTTTTGTCCTTTGATGCTCTAGATTTTAATTTAAGCTAGTTAGTTATTGAGGGTTTAATTTAGATTTTATTTTTGTTTTAACCTTTTTACAAATCCTTCCACTTATATTATCCTCCTACTTGAGAAGGCAGTAAGAGTATAAAAAGGCCAGAATGGGGAGAGTTGCAAGTAGTCATGAGAAGAAAAATCCTTTCTCTTTTCCATTATTACAAAACAGTTTATAAAAAATTATATAATTATATGACAATATTTTGTGACAATCTATTTTTTTTACCCTTTGAGTCCTAAATTGGTTACTTGTCACATTTTAAAATGCTAACCTTCCTTGAAAATTTAAACAAACTCACCTTGTTATAAAAAATATTTAACCCTGAAAATTCAGATTTCTAAACAGTTAGTTGTACAGATTAAGTAATCTGCTGATATTTTTAAAGATCTGTGATTTTCAGTGCACTTGGGATGGGTTAAAAAAGGGGGTGGAAGGAAGATCGATTTGCCTTTTGCAAATCCTAAACCCAGGTGTGGAAAAGATGATATAAGTCCCTGAAATCAAGCCAACTTTTCTTGGAAACTGATTCTTTGTTGTCTGTCTTTGCTTCTGTTAGGCAAAATATCTACTTTTCTTGTAGATGTCATGCAACTTAAGGAATATACACCTGACCCAGAATAACAAAGATAAGAAACCTAAGTATTTTTAGTGTGGAATCATGGGGTATCACTTATGTATTATAGTGAGAAACACAATGAATAGCTATTGGAATTATTTAAATCCTTTCCCAAGTTTCACTTTACCCCAGAATTCTCACTGTTCTTACTAATGTTGATTTACTTCTTAATGGGAAGAAAATGGGGAAATGGACAACCTATAAAGCTATGTCTTGCAGGGTGTAACAGCACATTTCACTACTAGTACCATGTTGTACAAACTAGTGATTAAGTGGCAAGCCAACAGAGTATTTGAATCAGTATCAAGACAGGAACTTACATACTTAAATCTCCAGTTCTTTAAAATAATTGTAAAAACACGAGGCTAATTTTAACAGTGAAAATTTGAGCCTCGTGACAGGTTTTGTGTGTTGTGCTTATTTTTCTGCTTGCTACTTTCTGAACTTGTTTGACTAATATATACTTTGGAATATTCTTCTTTAATTCTGGTGGCCAGTAACAGTTGGTGAATATGTGGTTTTTACAGATTGTACTAATGAGCAATTTTCTAGCAATGAATTGACTATAACTTCTTAACTAACATGCCTTTTAAAATGTTTTAAGTATTGAGTGTTTTTGTTTTGGTTTTGGTTGGTTGGTTTGTTTTCCAGTATGGGGAAGGAGGGTTGCTGGCACAGAACTCAGGAAAGAGTAGGATAGCTGAGAATGTGCATATGCTAGAGGGTTAAATTAAGTTGTGTGCTTATTTAATTAAAAGTTTAAGTGGTTTGTTTTTGCTGCAAGATAAATGACATATTAGCTCAATTAGAATAATAATTTTAATTAGCATATATCAGAGTTTGATTTTTTAAAAATTTGAAATCACAAATGACATCTTGGCAAGAATGAAAGAGATATAAATTCTTAGGCACTGGCAATGAATTCAAGCCTCTATTCAGCTTTCAGAAAAGGAGATTATGAGTTTTTTCTAAATATGCATATACATTACTGGTTTCACGTTGCATTTTAAGACAAATTTGTTGAATCTTACTGCTTTAAATGAACAAATCAGTAATGATCATTTTATAAGTGTTGAGGTTTTCTGTAATTTTTAATAAATCATCCCCTCAGAAAGAAATTTTAAGTAATACTTCCAAATGTAACTGTTCAGAAATTTAACCCCCCCCCCCCCCCATCCCTGGAAGTATTTTAGAATACTTTTCCCCCACTGTCCTGTGAGTATTTTTTCACCTGCATTTCAAGAAGATACAAACAACAAAATTTTGTT